CGTTACTGTTATGGTCTTAGCCAATCATATCACAGTACAAACCAGGAAATGTCATTCAAATTATTTCTGTCATCGAGTAAAGTCTACTTACACCCTCTTCTCACACATCATGATCTACAAGCCTTTATTATTCTATAAAAACATGCATCCTCAACAATATCATTCACAACAGACAATCAAATCAATAAATAAACCACAAAGAATGGATCTAGATCCACCTGTGGTGTCCACTGTACCTGTCCGCCTGCAAAGATGACAGGGGATCCTGAGGGCTTGGGCCGGTAAGGGATAGTGACCCCCTTAGGGGGAGACTGAACAGGAGACACACAAAGACAATGAGTAATGCCGTTACAACCCATCTGATCACATTAACTTATGCATAACTCTGGGTAGGTTTGGAAGAGGGGTTTTTGACAAGATTATGGAGATCTTCCAAAGAGACTACGGTAATTTCAAAGTTCATTGAACTCAAATGCTGACTAGTCAACTAATCTAAGATTCAGAAAATACTCGAGTACAGTAAAAAGTTAGCACAATTGATTTAACACAACTAAACACCGGATCACAGCTTCTGTGAGTAAACCATGTCAAATTGGTTAGCAGAGCACAGCTAATGTTAGCAGTGCTAGCTCCCCCCCAGCCTTTGGTCGTCCTTGCAGGTAAATGTCCATATGACTGTGCTAAATGTGGTCAAATGCTCTTTTCGTGGGGGTTCTATTGCTGCATTCATGTGCTGCTCAGGTGGTCCAGGTTTTTGAGTTGGGAAGTCGTTCTTCCGACTTCAGTGTGTTCACGAGATTTCAGATTGGAAAAGTCGGAATGTTGTAACAACAGCACATAAAGGCGTTAATGCTACAAAGAAGATCTGTGAAATGTTACTGTTAAGTGATATTTGAGCAAAAAAGTTGATGTGCAATACTTGAATTAATAAAAAGTATGTTAACATTAATAAAACATATTTTGCCCCCCATTTGATGACGATTCTGACGTCAAGTTGTGAAGTCAGGCACCTAATTCGTGTTCAGAGTTTCCTAGTTGCTGTTCCGACTTGAGTCACTTATGTGAATGGTTTCAAGACATCCTTGTCTAAACCCAGTACAAAGCAGTCAGCATCCCACAGAGATGACACCATGTCACACGATTGACTTTCAGGTCAACAGCTGCCACTTCATTTGCTTCGATAACTTGATGAGTTCACTCACCTCGAGCATGACCACGCAGATCTGCTTCACACACTCAATTATCGACTGGGGAGTACCAGCGATGGTGATGGCTCGCTCTGTGGAGTTGGGGAGCATGTCTCCTGCCACTTGTACCTGAGCACCAGTTGACTGCAACACAGACAAAAGAAACATTGTAAATGAGATGAGGACTCCAGATATTACATGCGTCAGTGTGTGGCAGGAAATAAGGATTTAAGGGTGCCGAGATTAAGCACACAGTATGAGTTTCATATACCTCTCGAATTTCCTTAATCTTGCAGCCACCTTTCCCGATGAGGGAGCCACACTGGCTGGCAGGCACCACAATGCGTAGGGTCACTGGGGGCTTGCTGGTAGCTGTGCTGTTTGTCATTGAGCTGCTTATGTCCTAGAAAAGAAAAACATCAAAATGAAGATTAATGCAGTCTGTGATTAAGCCAATTACTGCTGACCTGTAGATCCCTTAGTCAGTACGACCGTTGACCTACCTCTTCCAGCTTTTCAATGATCATGGAGAACGCCTTAAAGATGGCGGTGGTTGGACCTGCCAAAGTAATGATCCTCTCAGGACAATTGCCCTCAGAGATGTTGATGCGAGCCCCGCTCTTAAAACAAAGACAAAAATTCAGTACATTAGAACATTTTAGGAGACTCCCCCCCCAAATCTGAAAACTGTAGGCTCTTTATAACTACTGTTATATTCTATAGTACTTCACCAAAGAAACAAAGAAAGAGCTCACCTCTTCTCTCATCTTCTTCACAGATTCACCTTTCTGTTGGCAGAGAATATAATCATGGTCAAACACATCTCAAATAAAAAGCAAAATAATAATATACATTAAAATGTCATTTAATTTAAAAAGCAGCTTACCTTGCCAATAATGCTTCCAACTTCCTGTTATGAAATAAGAAAAGAGATGTTAATTACTAACATTTTCTTTAGCCCTACTTTTTTGTTTTTGTCTGATCCCACACAGACTCAAGATGGTGCTGTTGACCACGGAGACATCCAGGATTTCATCAAGCACAAACACAGTATATGTAGGCTACTGATGCAACACTAGTGCTGAGGCCTGTTAAAGGATGCTATGAGCTCGCACAGTTTTTGGGAAATTTTTTTTTAGGTTTGGTATGTTTGCTGTAAATTTCTGATGCATTGGTTACACTTGTCAGACTGAATATCAGCAGATTAAATCACAAAAACAACATGTCACTAGGACTACAGATGCAACAAGTGATTGAAAGGTATGTGGTGGTTGCAATAGCATGCTATGTTGTCCATTTTAACTCTTATCTGATGTAGAAACGTCTGTAACACAATTTGGTCAATCAATTTGCTTAATCATTATCCACAGAGGAATTCAGAAGAGAGATGCTCCACAGTATTTAGGAATAAGTAACACCACTCCTAAATTAAGAGCTGTATTTGACTGAGCTCTCAGACGAAAAGCAAAGCATTTTTTTAAATAGAAGTATGAAAAAAGCAGAAAAGCACATACTGAAAATTTAGCACCAGGGGTAGAACTCGGAAAATCACACACAATACATCATGAGATGATGTACACAATTTCTTATTTGAAAGCAAGAATAACGAAACCCTCTAAATCAACGTTACACTTTGCTTAGAGATACAGGATCCCATCACAGTCACACACTCACTCATCAGATCAAAGTCCTGGCCCTTTATCGCTCCCAGAGGAACATCCATAGGAATCATGCCACAAAACTGTAAAGAGTGCCTAGACCAGCAGCTGATGGATGATCTCACCTTGCCATGCATGAGCAGCCTAATGGTAAGGGTGACATTGAGCCCTCCTTCAATCACACCGGAGTCCATAACTGCAACTGAGCTGTTTATGCAGAACTGGGGGGGTCTTTGGTCACCAAGATGGATCTAAAGGACACACAGAGATGAAATTACACAAGAGGGATTATCGTATTGCAAAAGTTTGCAATTTGAAAAAACAGGATAAAAAAATGTCATGTGCTACTAAAACAAGTATAAACACTGATCTGTGCATGATCATTAAAAGTGGTAAAAAAAATAAATCTCCCTCTTTAGAAAAGAAGTTTCAGCAACACCCCTTAGCCTTACTGAGACTGTAGTGGATTCAACTATATGTAGGTCTACATATCTGCATGATTTTCATCCTAATAAATACTTTACAAAAGGTATCAGTCAGTAAAATGAAAAACAAATAAAGCCTGTGGCGAAGGTGGGTGAAAATATATTTTAGTAAAAAAAATTAAAAAAAAACTCAAAAATTGATTCTGTGAAGAGGGCATGACATGTATGTGTTGTTCATGGAGAAAAAAAATAACTTTCAGACAAAGTAAAGAAACATTTAAAGAGAATAAAGGGAAAGAGGTGGCACAGTATGAGAGCTAATGTAGCGTCACTGTTTGTGAAAACTGTATGATGTTTGATAAAAACAACCTATTGCTCACTCTCACTTAACTAAAAAAACCGATGGTATTAGGGTACATTTATTCCCAAGCATCCCAAATATGCTCTAAACAAAATGCAATGTATATCCGAACACGTTACTTAGCATGCTAACGATGACTTCATCATTAGCTGTGAAACAAGTTTATCAACAAACATGCTCACTATCACTCCCTCATCACCTCACTTAAGACTTGAGCCACTTGAACACATGTCGCAGGTGCATTACGTTTAAAAGAGTGTCTATTTGATGTCTCACTTGTCTCGGTTATTCTAAAGTTGAAGTTTAACTATTAAACCCTTGTTGTGTGAGTGTGTTAGCTGCTTAGCATTCATCGTGCTGGGGAAAAAAATGAATGAAGCATGCGTGCGCTACCTCACAACGCGAAGTTCAATTCACCCTTTAACATTATAAATAGCCGAGCGAGTGTCCACGACGTGCCTGACTCGGCTGTGCGCTCCGTTTTTGGATCAATAAATGCTGCAGGAGGAGTACACATCCGTTTTTAAAAGCGACATAAAAATCAAACTTTCCGTCGCTAAGCTAGGTTAGCCGAGCTATAGGCAAAACACTTCTGCGCCGAGACTGCGTGCTCGTCAGCATGCGGCCTTGTTAGCATCCGGTTAGCATGCAGGCTAGCAGCTGGGCGCGATTTCTTTCCGCTACTTCATAAACAAAAACTGATTAACAAAAAAGAAAAAAAAAAGGGGGAGGCAAACAAAGAAAGTACATCTCACCTGGGGTCGTGTGCTGGTAGGAGATCGGGGGGAGGGTTGGGGTTGTAAGGGTAGAAGGGGAGAGGTTCGGGAGGGTAGACACCCGGGGGAGAGTTTAGAAAGGACTCGGGGAAGAGGGAAGAGTGATGTGAGATCGAAGCTCCACTCCTTTACACAAAGACAACACACTCATCACCTCTGAACCCCCCCCCCCTTTCACCCCCCCCACCCATCCTCCTGAGTGTGACCCGACGCTGCCCCGAAATCATGCCTGTAAAGAAAAGTTACAGCTTACAAGTTTGTGTGATGCTACAAACACTGCAAGTTAAAAATAAAAGAGTATCATTGAAAAGATTCAAGAGTCTTTGCGTGCAATTTAAATAATTGTGCATCGCTTTAAAACGACACTGCTTTCTGACTAATGTCCCATCTATATCTCATAATTAAACACCATTATCAAATGTATGTTTTACCAATTTTTCTGACATGTTCACATGTAGAAACTTGTAAAAAAAAACAAAAAAAAAAAAAAACAACACTGATTTATGAGACCACTAGTGGGCGTAAAGTGCAATGCAGTTTATAACTTTATTTATTTAACATCAGTCGCGACACACATAACTTATTAGGCGTTGTACCGTATTTAGATTTATTTATTGAGCAGATTCAATTGAATACCCTTGTAATACATCGAATTACAATTAGTGCAGATACAAAAAAGGATAAAGACTCAGCAGTTAAATGATAAAGTGACCATATATTAAAATACAAATCAATCATTTTTAGTATGTTCCTATATACATAGCCTCCACCATACAAATCTTTTTTACATAAATGTCAGATTATAACAAAGTTGTCTATTATGGACATCCTCTGCACATCACTAAAGTCCCTCTCTTCAAATCATTTCACATTTCACACATTTCTCAAAAAATATAAATGAATTTAAAATGTGGAATGCCTATACAAGAAATGTTCATTAATAGTATCAGTCACCTAACAAAGAAATAAAAAATAAATAAAACACTGCCTTTCACAGAAATCCTGTTAAAGGGAGTCAAATAAATCTGTGCATCTGGTGTTAATAGCTAGTATGCCCTTCTGAAGAGTAACATTTCTGTAACTGTCTTGAACCTGTGGCCTTCGTCTTAGTCACTGCTGCTGCTGCTGCTGCTGCTGCTGCTGCTTGAGGACTGTGGAGGAAAAGAGAGAGATGATTAATACAAAAATGATAGTTTTTATTGCCTAGATAAAAGGTTGTGAATGAACTCATGAATCTCAAAGTAGATGAGGTCAGATGAGATATACAAGCAACGAGTGGATGAAATTGTATCATCAAGCTATTTCAAGGTATAATGAATGAAAACATATTTTTGTTTTGTTTTGTTTAAATTCCATCTGCAATCTTGAACATGAAGATCTAACAGGGTCGTTTTAAACAGTTAAGCATAGACGTTTCTTACATTAGTCTATCCTGTTAAGGAGATATTTAAGTGAAGCTGAAACATCTAATCCATTGCAGGAATTATGGGAGCATACATTTTTAACAAATTAATTAAAATAAGGCTTTTCTTCAGGGAAAACTGCAGCATTCAGGCATTTAATAACTTTATATGTCCAAAAACTAAATGTTTTGGGATTTAGACCCTTACAAGATATCACCTTTTGCAGAGGAAACATGTGATGGCCTTTTTTTTAAACTTAATTGGGGTCTTTAGCTGACAGTTGTAGGCAGGTTCTAGTTTCATCTTTTTATTTCACAATGACACTTCAATAGTTCACCTGCTGCAAATATTGCAGCATAAAACACATTCTCACCTTGCCATGTTTGTGATGCTTGTTCCCCTTATGGCCTTTCTTCAGCTTCTTCATCTTTTTGTGGGCTTTATGTCCACCCATCCCCATCCCCATCCCCATCCCCATCCCTGACATTCCTGCCATTCCTGCCATTCCTCCAGCCATGGGATTTAGTCCTCCATGATGATGACCTTTATGGGGACCTTTGTGGTGACCTTTGTGGTGGCCTTTGTGACCACCTTTAGGAGAGTGTGGGAATAGACCTGGGTGAACACCTGCAGGAGGGACCCCTGGAAATCCACCTGGAGCCATAGGATAAGGATGAAGCCCAGGAGCTCCGTAAGGCATCGCACCTGGAGTTACATTTGGTGGTACCATGCCTGGTCTCACTCCAGCTGGGTACTGGCCTGCAGGGTACTGGCCTGCAGGGAACTGGCCTGCAGGGAACTGGCCTGCAGGGTATGCTGGATGTGAAGGTTGGGGAAAGAGACCAGGAGCAGGAGCAGAGGGAAATGCAGGATTGTAGCCAGGAGGGTAGGCTGGGTTTGGTGGAGGACCTGATGTACATAAAGACATATTCTTCAAAACATGTATAGGCTACAAATGAAACATGCTGAGTTCATTTTTTTTTTTACGCTGGTATCTTACCTTGGTTTGGCCACATGGTAATCTGTATGGACTTTACAGGTCAAATCCCTCAATTCTTACACAAAATCCTGAGAAGAAGCAAAAGAGCACATTTGTCATAATGAAAAAGAACCTGGTAATAAGAGACTTTCTGAAGGGTGTGACAATTTTATGTAATCATATTGTTTGAATTGTGTCTTTGATTCATTTCTGTAATGTTTTTATCAGAGATTATATCCTTTGTGGGGTATATACTATATATTGGTGTTAAATTGACTCTTTTAAATCATCTATATCTGCTGTGTGTAAACGGGATCAAAAAACCCCCAATAATAATAGTTTTAATTATTTTTTTACATTTACAAGTTTCCAAAATTATAAGACCATATTTCAATAGATAACCCTTTTAAGTTATCTTACCATGTCAATAGCCAAGAAAATGTTCTCTTGTACTTGTGTTGTCCAACAAAAAGTTAAACCCAAGAGAAAATACCTTACAATAAGTTAGTTAGAGAAATCACAAATAATAACTTTTGAAAACTTAAATAGCCTCAAACTATTTATTGAATATTAAAATGTTCTTTCAAAGAATGTCAATAAGCTGAATGATAACATCAGTGTTTCCCTACAGTGAATATATTTTTGTCACCACCACAATGTACATCTCTAACTTGAATTGTGTGAATACTTTAATGTTTTTTTACAACACCAGGAGATTTAGATTTGTTCTACATTTGAAACATTTCAGTCTAATGAAGAACTATGCTGTAAGGGCGTGGGCCTGTGAGGGTCGTACCACTTCAGTTATAGCAACAACGTAAGTAGGCTACAGTTTCTAAGGTAGCCTATTCCTGAAACTAGTGTAGTCCCAATTACCTGACCTTCAAGGTTCAGCTTAATTTGTTTCAAAACTTTTATTAAAACGAACAAAGTACTCGCATTAGTAACTTTTGGTAATATTGTTTTCATGCAGGTACAGATACCATAAATGCACTCATCCCATGTATTGGTAACTTGTCTTGATTGTGGTCAAATGCCAAAGCTACTCAGGAATTTCGCAACACGTTCTCTTGTTATGCCTACAAAACAGGTATGATACAACAAAAATCCCACAAAAAAAAAATGTATTTTTTTTTAAGCCACACATGTCGCTTAGAATCACTGTCGGCCAATTAGGTTTCAAAGACTTACCTGAGGAAAGTGCCTCTGGTCTGTTTAAGTTTTCTTCAGGAACTCTGTGCTCCCTGTTTTTCTTCCGCATCGAGCTGCACGGAAACAGCAGATACTTGTCAGCACGAGGAAGTCCACGCCCGTTATTAAAGTCCACGCACAGTGATTACGTAATGGCACAAGTCCAACTATGTATGAAAAGTTGATCCACAGGTTTCTGTGGCACAAAGGGCTGCGATAATGGAAATGTTGACGCTAACTCCCAACCATTTAGAATGATTATTTCCAGGGAGGAGTCACAAACTCATATGCACCTGACTTGAAATAGTTATGATTCCTCATACTCCAGAGTGTAGGCTATCACACCAAATCCATGACTTCAAAGATCAAGATTTGTTTTGAGATATAGCCTAAACAAACCAGGAACAGACAGTGATCTATATGATCTTTATAGGGCTTTTATTTTATCTTCAATTTAAGCAAAGACAACAAAAATAGTGACCAAAATAACTTCTCTTAGCTTACAGAGTATGCGCAAACTATGTTCATACTCATTATCTACTTTTTCAGTATTTAACTGAATTGTATTTGAGCTTATGTACTTGACCTTATTTATTTACCTTTTTGTTCATTTACTTCCTTATCCTGTCTTCAGTTGTAAGATTTTTTTTTATCTTACCTCCTCTTTTCTCATCACAAGTTCATGACAGCATTTCCTCATTTATGTTTTTATGGAGTCTTTCATTTATCACGTCTTTTTTTCAACATGTGTAGTATGGATTGTGGGGTGGGGTTGTTAAAGTGTGTGTTTCAATATTTTTGTACAAGAAGTGCAATTTAAACACAGTCTAATGGATTGATCAGTTTTTTTACCAACAATCACGTAAAATTACACTTTTCGACTTGTCAGGACAGCACTAATAACATTTACTAAGCCTCTGTGGTGTTCCAATGACATTGTATCTTTGGTTGTGTCTGCAAGCACAACACCCAGAACTTGATATTGTAGAAGCCATATGGATTTCAGCCATCAATAACTTTATGAATATCTATTTATTGATGTGACGTGTCAGAAAAAGTGTCTATCATAAAGGATGGCTCATTGGCCTAGCTTACTATTTTTTTTTACGTGATTGTTTGGCCACTACTAGTCAAAATGTCTGATGTGAAAAAAAGGCTTATTACTGGAAGTTTGAGTAGAGGTTGAAAGTCTCTTGAATTTATTCAAATACAAAACTAGAAACAAATATAAACAGTTACACAAAATAACAAAATAAACCCTTTTCCCAGAGTTTTCAAAAACAATTCCCAGTATGTCTTTTATGGACACCCTTTGAAATTGCTCTTGACTGAAGCTGAATTACTGTTATAAGTATTGAATAGAAAGAAAGAAAGTAATAGAAAAATGTACAAGTTTATGGGTTACAGCTATCGGCCAAACGGATGAATATACGACGAAAAGCTTCAAATGAGTGACTCAAAGAGAGTAGCATGATATACAGAATATAACAAGTCAAGATGAAGAAGACAAAGCAAATATCATTGAGAGAAATGAGATTGAAGGGAAGCCAATCTGTCCAATCTCTCCGCAACACATTGAGCAGTCAGTCGGGCATCCGGGTCACAGTCCCAACAATCTGCAAGGAGCTCCTGCAGCACAGGACCCTGAAAGATGGAAACTTTTAGTCAACACCTTTTTCTTATTGGAAACAACCAAAACAAAAATGTCATGTTCAAGTAAGTAGCACCTGTGTAAGAATACCTGTGGTAATAGGTCCCAGTGTCTAGGTATGGAGGGTCTTTTGTCCATGTAACACACATGCTGAATGAGGTTTTCTAGTGTTACTTTGACTCCCAGCTCGGATTCATAAGGCAACAGATGATGTGCAACAGTATCGCCTGCAGATGGAGACATATTAAAGAATTAAGAGTCAGTGTAGAACCACCACAGGGAAAAAAAGTTTCTAAGCAGAGAGATACTGATGATTGTGCCGAGCAACCTCACGGAGAAGAAAAAAATGAAATTGTAAAAATTAGACACTAAAGACTAGATTTGTTAGTTTTTCATTATTAAGATGTGATTAACTTCAGCACTGATTTTAATTCCAAATCCAAGGAAACCTGTTTTATTGCTTGAGTATTTCCTGATACTGATACATTATACATCTGCTCCACTCGATCTCAGAGGCAAGTATTACACTATTTACTCCATTTGCTAAATCAAACATCTACAAATACTTTTCAGTCTACGATTTTTCATACTTTACGTGTTCCTTTATGGGCTAACCCCACTCTCAAGTGTGAACTGTCTGTATGTCTGTCTGTTTTTCTGATTGAAGAAGTGTACCTTGAAATAAATCAGTGCAACACATCCAGATCTCCCATAGCAGGAGTCCCAGAGCATAGATGTCCCCCTGCAGGAGACACCAGGTGTTGCTGAGGTTTATGGAGCCTTCCAGGACTTCAGGGGACATGTAGCGCAGTGTGCCCAACTGAGCATGACTCTGCAGATGGATAGGAATACAAAATGTTATTTCAAAGGAAAGGAAAAGGAAAGTATTCAAGGTTTAAAAAAAAAACCCAATAAAGTATTGTCCACAGATGCAGCTGTATTTCACATCTGAGTAGAATCTTTTTCTTCCTTGGATTTGTATTTTTTTCGTCTCACCTCAATTTTTGTTGCGTGGCTCTGCAGCTGCTTTTGTCCTGAACAAGAGCGTAGGATGGTAGAGCTTCCAAAATCACACAGCACACAGGTCCTGTCGGCTCTCACAAGCACATTGAAGCTGCTCAAGTCCCTGTGGGCCACAGGAGGCTTGTGCACATCTGGAAGAACAAGACACGCATCATGATGAAAAGGAAGGTTGTATTTGTGTTGTTAGTTATTTCTAGTGAAATGTACCGATGAAGACAGGCTCATACTTTATTGGTTAAACCTTTCTGCCTCTGCTTCTTCTGCACTGCTATGTGACTGTGAAAATGGTTATAATCATGTGTCCCTGTGCGATGTCAGCTGTTTGTATATCAGCTTATGGGTTTTAATTATAAGAAATCAACAAAAAGTAATAACCAAAATGTATTAGCTTCTGTTGGACAAAAACAACTCAATCAAGTTATAAATAGTCCTATTTGCTCTTCACATCTACAGATATGATAGAGAGGCGAGCTTTCTGTGTGGGTGGCAACATGGACATGCAAAAAGACACACACATTTGCTTACAGAAATAATCTGGCCCATACCGTGTCTGTGAAGGTCCGAGTGGAGATAGGAAAGTCCCTGTGACAAAGACTGACACAGCTTCAGTGACAACATCCAGGTACTGGTGTGTTTACTCAGAAATGAGTGGAGAGAACCCTGAAATCAGAAGAACACCAATTGATTATGTCCAAGAGCATAAATAGCAGAGCAGATAAAAAAAAGAGATAAACAATTGAAAAAAAAAACATTATATAGAAAACACATCAATTAAAACAGACGTACAATTAATAAGAACTGTTGAAATCAAAATCAATTAAAACAAGTGCAATCAGAAGTTAAAGGGTTAATAATTAAGGATCTAAAATGGCCATAAGAAACCAGTGTCAGGGAATTCCAAGCTGATGGTGCAAAGAAGCAAAAAGCAGATCTTCCAAGCTCAGAATGAGCTCGAGGAACCTGGAGCGTGAGCCAGTCATTAGAACGTGTGTAAAGTACTCCAGAGCAGTGGTTCTCAACTGGTGGGTCATGACCCATAAGTGGGTCGCGGAGCCGATTTCAGTGGGTTGCAAAGGTGTGCCTGGAATAAAAATTGTGTCAAAAAGTCTATGAAGCGCTTTTTAAACAAGTTTGTTTCGTTCCATTTCTTTGTCCACATTTCCTACCATCTTGAAGTCCAAAAATAAAATAAATTTGAGTCACGATTTGCCATGAAGGAGTTGGTAGTGGGTCCTGAAGCTCGACCAGTTGAGAACCACTGCTCCAGAGGACCAGACTAACATAGAGGAAATGTAAGGAGGTAGCATCTCAATAAGAGCTTTGTAAATGAAAAGGTACGTATGTAAGTCTCGCCTCACAGAGAGTGAAGACCATCCAACATTTCTATACGGGATGCAGTGACGGGTGCTTGCAGCATCACCTGTAATACACATAATTGCAGAGTGGAAAACTGCCTCAAGGGGTTTTAAAGTAATGTGATTGGCTACACTGGCTTCACCTATACAATGAGGACATTACTTTGAAATCATGTTACTGTGTTTGCATGATAACTACCTCATGTTTTTGTTATATTAGGACACTTTTGTTTTATTATAATCCACCTCTTAAGAGGTATTTGAATGATCCCCAATAGAGCAAGTGTAATAGTCACTGTAGTGGCTTTTTGTCTGAAAAAAATCTAAATACATTTCTATCAAACATAATCAAATGACCACTGATGCACCATGGAGATGTGATGTACACAGGCAAAAGAAGTCCAATGTCCATTCAAACATAAAAAATAAAACATAGGCCCACCCAGGTGCATTCTGGTCCTCTACCTGCCTCTTACCAAAATAACCTCTGGTGCCCACAGTGTTACCCAAATACCTAACAAAATAACGAAAACGTGTTGAATAACTAAATAAACACCACCACCCAAATCTTAGTAAAATAAAGCCCAAACTGATTTTGACAAAGATAAATAGCTCGTACAGTCACAGCTGAGTTACAAAAGAGCTACAGAAATTATTTGTTGTAAAGAACAAACACAAAAACAAAACGTTTGTGCTGCATTTATATATATAAAGAAAAATGGAAATACAAATCTATTGAATTGTTCATTATTTCTTTATTAACTATACAGGTTTAAAAAAAAGATTTTTAATAAAGATTTTTTTTTGTGCCTTTAATGGAGCGATAGGATATTGGATAGTCGGAAATCAGGAAAAGAGCGTGACATGCGGGAAAGGAGCCACAAGCGGGATTCAAACCTGGGCCGCCCACTTGGAAGACCACAGCCTCCATAAATGGGGCGTGCACACTAACCACTACGCCACCAGCGCCCCTTTACTGTACGTGTTTGAAATAAATATTTTACATCTATATATCTTTGTCTCTATCACTTAGGAAAATTAAAGGATGGTAAAGTAATGTTTTCATTCTTTAGTTCAATATTTATTTTAAATATTTGTTTCTTGTCCCTCTTCCATATAAAGTGAACTTTTTAAAGCCCTGTGTAGGGAAAAAAAGCAATTGAATAATAAATAAATATAATATAAATATAAATAAATAAATCAAATAATAAAACAAAATCAAATATTTCCTTTCCTGCAATGACTCTTTCTTCTATTTTGCCTTCTTATCACAACTTCTAAGCCCTCTGAAAATGCAGAAGTGAAAGTGAAACATTTATCTTGACCACTTACATGTTCAGGAAACTGCAGGACCATCAGCCAGCTGCCTCCATCCAGTTTCCTCCCAGCGCCCAGGAAGGGGACAATCCCAGCATGCTTCATTAGTGGCAGCTCATAAACCTCCTTCTCTGCAGTCCATTTCTCTTTCCAGCCCACAGGAAAAACTTTCACTGCTACCACAAATCCATGGTATTCCCCCTTCCACACAGTCGCAAAATGCCCACAGCTCACAATCTGACAGACGGTATAAACATACATGTAAAACAACAGTTAACAGAGGACGTATGGATCACAAAGCTCTTGATTGATTGAATGATTCTAGAAAGTATAAACACAAGTGACAGAGTGGCTAACCTGCTGTAGTTCAATGTCAGAAGTGATGATCTCAGAGGTTTGTGTTGTTTGGCAGGAACACAATCTTGTGAAACTGTTATCATCAAAGGGGGGTAGATTCTCTGAAATAATGAAAGTCTTTTTTTATTAATCACACACAGATTGAGGGTCATACAAAATACACAAAGGTCACTTCAACTGTTAATGTACCTGAGTGAATAGCACCAGAAAAGACAAAGATAACTGCTTGACGTGTAACAAAGGACAGAGGTAAAAGGGAGCGTTACATTGAGATAAACACCAAGGTCAGTCCAGCTGATAGAATGAAACGGTTTCAAGGAAAACAAAGACATCATGAGAACTTAATCTTTAGCTTAGAAAATATGATAACATGCCTGAAGAATGTGCTTCTCTGACACCCTGAACAGCAGAGAGGTTGTACAGTCTGTGTAATCTTAATCCTGTTTAAAATCTCTAAATGTGACAAGAGCTTCCCATGACGAGCAGTAATGTGGGAGCTTCCTTAATCCGAGTAACAAACTGTGCTTAGTGAAAAGCTGCAAACATCAGCAGTTAGCTCATTATATAGGAAAATAAAAATGTACAGTAACAGAATTATTTTAATTTTATAAGGTCATTTATCAAATACACGATTAAGTGTAACATAATTTATGAATACTGCAACCAGGATAGTCAAATTCAGTTTTAGTTCTCATTTTTGTCCACAAAAGTGGACAGGTATAATAAAACACATGGCAGAAATTTGGACATTAAAAAATTACAAGTAATATATAATATAGAGTTAATTTCAAATCCTGAATGGCCAACAGGGTACTCCATGCACAGCCTATGCGTTCTCAGGAACGTACCATGAAAAATAAATCAAAAACCCATGACACGCTGGGCAAACCTAAGCTACAGGCGAAACGCGTTGTTCGCTCACAATAAAAGACGGTAAAATTATTTCAGTGTGCCACAGATTTTTTACTTATTTTTCATTATATGAAATACATTACATGGAATTGCTTTCTTGATTTTGGAAAAATAAGGAACTCACTTTTCTCTTTGAAGAAGCCTCTCCAATTGGCAGCAGCAATCATGCAGCAGAGGGCCAACACAATGCCGACCAGAATGATTGCAGCAGTTTTCACTATTTCATCTAAGAAGAAAGCAAAAGTTAGAGAACAACTTCCCCTTTCAGTTAATAGAGTGTGTTCATAACTTCAAATACTGTATTTCTTATTGAATATATCATTGATGTTCATCACTTAGAGTTTTATTGTAAATCTTCAATGACTTATTTCATCTTCTTATTATCATACCTGTGGAAAAAGAGGAGGTGGGTTGAGGCATCTCCGTCTCTGTGGTCAAAGTGATGTTACTGTTGCAGAAGTCTGTGTTACACACACACTTTAGGACACGACCGTTGAAGCGGGTTTGAGCCTTACAGATTTCATCTGGGCACGACTTTTCAGCTACATCGCAAGCTGCAAATGAAAAATTCAGTAACACAACTGAAGATATAAAAACATAGAAACCATATAACCTACAGATTAACCTTTAAATGATAATGCTGCAGTTTGGGTTCATGGGTTCAATTTAATGAAAAAGAAAAAACATGAACGTCTCTTATAATGCCACAAGAAAATTATCCAGACTACACAGAATAATTAACAGGCACTCTGCCGGGTATCTAAATTGACAGTTTCTCACCGAGAAGGTCGACTTTTGGCTGGCCATCAACGATCAGGAAATAGCCAACACAGCACTGGGTGTTCTCACACAGCTGAACCGTACCACTCACGTTGCCAGCAGCTGTATATTTGTTGTTCTGAGGAGACACTTGGAAAGCACAGTGTCTCTTCTGAAGAAAAGACTGGCTGCAGATGCAGAAAACGATACATTCTGGCACAGGGAGGACAGACAAATAGCTCCTTAAACATTTTGCTTGAACCCTCAATATGAAACTGTTCTGTCTGGCTTCAAGAGAAAGTTTTTTTCTGTGTAAACTCTTAATCTTAAAGTTTTTGTTTACTGTTGAATCTACAATTTATCTTTCTGGCTAATCACATTGTTGGAGTACAGCAAAGGTTATACAAGCTACAGTTTCATCAAAAAGTCTTGAGAATGTAACACACATTTTTGATAAGAGTTTCCGGATTCATATCACTTATGTCACTGCAAACATGGGACACACTCACACCTTGTTATAGTCAGTTAAACTTGACATAAAAAACAAACTATTAAAACAAACTAAATGCATTTATAAGCTGTATGCGAGACTCAAAACGAGAAAAGGTTTGCACGAATGCACTTACCAACAGCCAAAATCAGCTGCCACTGTTGCGGGATCATGGTCACTCTAAGAGACCGGCCAGCAGAGCTTGAGACCTTATCAGTCCTGGGAATGTGAGAGGAGTTTCCCACATTTCCCGGCATCACTCCCACTGCCACACACCTGCATGTACGAAATATACTGTCTGCTGCCATGGGAATATAAAAAATGATCCACCTAATCTTCTTCCACTGTTAAGCCTTATCATCTTCTTCCAGTTGTGGGGCTGATTTCAGTTTGATCTGTTCTTTAGGACCACAGGTGAACTATAGGACGCAATCCGTGGGGCCACTGACGGAGAGAATTTAACTCAGCGACAATATTTAGTGATTATTGAGACAAAACGTGCAAAAAAGAATGAATAGTTTAATTAATAAAAAAAGACAATAAAATAAATACTCAAGGTTCATTAGAACTACAGGATTATATGCCATTATCAATATTTACTACACAATATTATATATTACAAAATCCCAGGTAATATTTTCCTAACAATAAAGATACAGCATGAACTTTTTTCACAAGTTTCAAGTTCATAATTACCCTTCCCTTTTCAAAATCTTTAGATTTATTAGAGTCAAATTTCAGAAAAGTTAAATCAAATTGAAAGTCCATTATTTTATTTTTTTAAATATCGAAAATTTAAACTTCAGGTACACAACCAAGACTACAAATAAAACAGAAAAGTCAGCACACTAAATGTCCATAAAGTATGTATTATCAGGGTGAGCAGCTCGTTGTCTGCAATGTTGATGAAGGGTTTGTGCTGAAAGGCTTCCGTTGTTGATCTGTACGCTGCTAATCTGCTAAAATACCAACCTGAGCAAGTATTAGATGAGTTGCAATGACGTTTTTTTTCCAGTTGGCTATCAGAGGAATATCTCCTGACGACCTTAAAAGACTCCGCATTTTTCTAACAAACTCCACGATCAGAATTGTGGTGAAACTAGGATAAATATTGGAGATGCTTTTGAATAATGGAGAGAGGTTAGAAAAGGTTTTTAAGACCGATGCAGAGCTGGCTAAACACTGAAGCTACAGGGTCCGAGATATGGCAACCTTATATGCATAGATCCAGGGAGGAGGTCAGCTCTTTCCAGTGTTTTGAATTTTGGATTTCAGTACCCATTTTAAACGCCAGGTGTCTTAGTAACATATTGGGCCTTTAACAGTGCTAAACTTGCAACTTCACCATTTCTTTGCAGGTAACATTAGAAATTTAGCACCACTGATTGCAATTAATAGTTTCGCCCTGACAGCTTTCATCTAAACTTGATATGTCAACATTAATTTAACTTCAAACAAGGAATTTAAGTTACCGTGAATACTTTTAAATGTTTGCCACCTAGTTATGCATAGACGGGCCTAAGAGATTCCTGTCAGACACACGCGTACAAAGACAAAATCACCTTTGCGGGGACTCAAGTCTTTTCTGAGTAAATGTGGAAATACATAAATATGGAAATAAATAAATGTATAAATAAATACATATATAAATAAATAAATGTGGAAATAAATAAATGTATAAATAAATAAATGTGGAAATAAATACATGTATAAATAAATAAATGTGGAAATAAATAAATGTATAAATAAATAAATGTCTAAATAAATAAATGTGGAAATAAATACATGTAGAAATAAATAAATATGGAAATAAATAAATGTTGAAATAAATATATGTGGAAATAAATACATGTAGAAATAAATAAATGTGGAAATAAATAAATGTAGAAATAAATTTAAGACATTTTATTATTTATGTCCCATTTATTTACCAGTTTTTATTTATTTATTCACGCATTTAATTATTTATTTATTCCAGTTTTTATTTATACATTTATTTAGTTATACTTCTGTCAGATCTCGTCCTCCATGCTTTTCTGGTCTTATTTAACTTTGTAGTATTTCGTTTGAATATCCCCAAAAAATGAAACCAACTCACATTTTGATCATTAAGTTAATAAACTATCGAATAGTCATCAAGGGTGGAGTTTAAAAGCGGCATTATCTAATTGTGTATTCGTGCTGTCCTAAACTACAAAACGTGCACACCTTTGATTAAATTGGACAGTACCTAGCATGTGAGTTACCTGTAGTCCACACGGGGACAAACAATACAGCGGTAGAGTTGCTTATTTAAACTTTTCATATCAGGCGGTTCAAAAACAATTTGATAGTGTGTACTTCAGCTTGTTGTATCTTTCTTAAGGCAGCAGTTCTAGTCATGAACTCCGTCAAAAAAGAGGTAGCATTAGCTCATGTTTTCGCGGAAGACTCTGAAAATGAGCGGACGTTTTACGGCTTTTCTGACGGTGAACTCGGAGACCACGACGTAAAGAAGGTAAGTCATCTTGCTCTAGTTAAGATAAACACACTCAAAGAATCAACATTAAACTAAATCTGCGATTGTGCTGTAAAATAAACTGAGTTTAGTGGGGTTTATTTTTTTAATGTAATTGACGCCACAGTCTGTTGGGGATTAACACTCAGTAGGCTGACTTAATAGGCACATTTTTACCGTGAAAGTTGTGGTGTAATGTATCAATTGCTTATTTAGAAGAAAAAAATATTTTTATATCCAGGAGTACAAGTTGGAAAATAGTGATGAAGAAGCCCAACCCGAGCTCTCCCTTAAGACGGAGACTACCACATCTAAAGGGTCTTCAGGGGGCCAGCCCTTCAGGCTGAGGGTGGCTCTCCGGTCCACTCGTTCAAGACAGCAGTCCAATGATGATGATGATGAGAAGAAGAAGAAGAAGAAGAAGAAGAGGCCGAGGAGGAAGGAAAGAGGAAGATAAAGAGAGGACTAAAGGGGACAGGAAATAAACGCAGCGCAAAGAAGATGAGACATGTTACATTTAAAGATGAAAATGAGATGATTAAAATGCCCCCTGCTGAGGAGCATGGATCTGATTCAGCAGAAGAGGTTGCTGATTCTTTCCTGGCCAAGAGACAACAGAACATCAAGGCCAACAAAGCAATGGTAAACCACAAACACAGCACCATGTATATTTTCAGCTGTCTGGTAACTTGGTAAACAATGTGGATTTAAAACCGTTGCTCAGAGCATATATAATTTTCCCATAGGTGTTGATACAGAAATCATGGGTTTAAATATCAGCATGTATGTAATCTATTTTTTTTTGTGTACAAGTTGTCATCAGTTTGAATTGTTAAGACAGAAAGCTGTTGCTGTATGGTTCAGGAAATTGTGATATCATTGTATTGTAAAAATAGGTTTTAGTATCAAGTCTAGGCATGTGTTCATTGCCAGAATGACTTAAGATGTTTTCAACCTGCCATACTTCTTATCTTTTTATCCTCCCTGTTTTCTCACAGTTGGCTCAGCTAATGGCAGACCTGCAGAAGATGCCAGGAGGGGCCGGGCTTCTGAATAAACAAGCAGGAAAACAGAAAACAAAACGTTCTGTGAGTAGAAGGTTATAAAGAAGTTCTCATGATGAATGAAGGCTGTGTTACGTTGTGTTAAATTAGCTGCCGACCCTCCTTTTTTTTTTTTTTTTCCTTTCTCTCCTGCAGCGTCCTCCACGTTCTGGGGGAGAGTCCAGGAAGAACCCAGAGCGAGTGTCCCGCAGAATGACCCGCTCAATGGCGGGAGGTGGAGACCCATTAGCCCTTAAGGAGGAAGAGCTGGAACTCAGCCTGGAGGAGGAGCTAGTGGAGGTCAGCCTGGTCACTTAACAAGACTAACAGAAAATATTCAGAAAATAAGTTTGGAGAGCCTTTAAAGAATTTTGTTCTTTGAACAGCTCAAGAAGTTGTGCTTTTACGGTATTTTTCCTGTAGATATTTTTTTTTCACCACATTACAGTAAGAATTTGAAATGGCTTGAACGTGAATGTAGATATGTTTTGCTTTATTCACTGATGACAAGGTTGTTATAATAATAATTTTTATGACAATTATCTACTCTATAAAGTTTAGAAATCGACCAATGACAAGGCTTTTTTCCAGTCTTTGTTCAGCTTTGTAAATCTTTCCCTTTGTCAACTTTTGTGTGAAACTTTGTCGCAAGTAGAAAAATATTTGTTGTTTTTGTTTTAATGTTCCAGGTACGCCGAGCCCCACGTGACCGAGGTGCCCCACGTCCTAATCAGGGCAAACCTCATTTAATCCGCCCTGTAGAGGACATCACAGAGGATGAGCTGCAGCTGGTCGCCGACAACATGACTGAAAAAGTCTACAATAGAGTTACTGTGAGTCAACAGCCTGACTCAACCCTCCGTTTCGTAGACATTCATGGGAATAAGATGACATTATAGAGTATATTTCCAGTTAGCCCAATGACAGTTACAATCACTATTGCAGCTTTGGTTCAGAGTCCTGATATTTGAGGAGAAACAGATGAAGTCATGACTCGTGAGGTCACTTCCCATTGACCTGTTCTCCGGCTTGTTATGGGATGATTTTTAGATTTTGTCTGCACAAATTGCTATAAACTGCTTTGAAAATGTCAGTGTATCTGTCCTCCCACTCTTGATTTGAGGTCTCTGTATTTTTCAGGGCTCCACATGCCATCAGTGCCGTCAGAAAACGATTGACACAAAGACGTGCTGCCGCTGTGAGGACTGTCGAGGGATTCAGGGTCAGTTCTGTGGGCCGTGTCTGAGGAACAGATACGGAGAGGATGTCAAGAAGGCGCTGCTCGATCCGGTATGATTGCCCAAACACCATCTCTCTTTAGAAAAAAAGATGAATGGTACTGTCATTAAGTTTTCAGCCTTCAATGTTGGTGCTGGGTTTTAAAAGAATGTGTTAGTTAAAGAAGGTTGTTACCACTCCCTGTTTAAATTAAAAAAAAATCTTGGTGATCAGTGATGGAATTAAAAGTCTAAGATGGAAGTTCATTTTTGTGTTTATGCACATTTATTGTAGTGAAACTCAGGCCTCAACTCATCTGATAGATTAAACATCAGCAGAAGCAACTCGTCTTCATGTGTCATGTTTTGGATTACTGGAGGAGAATATGAGTCTGACGGCTTTTTGACTGGATTCTCTTTAAATGATTCAACTTTATTGGATACGTTTTTGACACTGCAGACAGAGGAGCAAGAACATAGTGTGAAAGCAGGAGATATTAATATATGGCATGGATT